ATGGTTGACAGGCGCCACTACTACTCCTGAGTCGGGCCGGTCGGCAAAGTCACAAAATTGAGTTTAACGAATGGTTTAAAAACAAAGTAGAGGAACTGACCATGGATCAAATAATAAACTCTCCATTCAAATAATTTTTCAACTTCGGATTTCAGAGGAGGAATCCAAACGCCGAGTCTCACACTTCTCAGGTATGCAACAGAGGGATGTCACTTTCTGTCACTACCTCCCCTGGCTACCTTTGCGTTTCCAGGTGCACGACCTACCTAACCCTTAGCCACACATTCAACTCCACGTTCATCCTCTCAATGTCAAGTACAATGATAACAGCGGATCTCGCCCACTGACATGCGTGCCATTTAGTCCTGCTTATCTCGATGGTGAGGTCCAGCCCACGCCGGAGCCACTCCACTTCCCCTTTTCCTGTTAGCCCCTGCTCGCCCCTGGCATCTTAGCGGTCCTGGTGGTGGATCTGGAGGGCACAGAGCTCTCAGGAAAGTCGAGGCCGTCTAGTCACAGCGCAATAGACATGACCACAGGTGCCAGGCACCCTTTGCAGATCCGGGGAAGGTTCTCTTGTTGCCAGGGAAGAAGGAATTGCCATCACTTTTCTTACACTTGGGAGATGAAATAACTGCTCTGGGGAACAGCCCTGCCCTGGCTTCGAGGACGGACATGAACTATTCAGAGAAGACCCCCATGGGCTTTCAGCACGGGCTTCCCGGCCCCCTCTGCTCCTGAGCTGCCCTGGAGCCGGACAGGCCCTGCTTAGGTTACCCCAAGCCAAGAGAGAGGGCGCTCATGTCCACGGGAGGGGTACAAGAGAAGGAGACAGGCTTCTCTTTTGACAGTCAAGCCTTGACATTGCATGAGACTCCACTTCCCTCTGAATTTCGAAACTGACTTCCATTATATCATTACGTCCTGCGAGAGGACCACCCACCAGCAGAGCAAGCAGATAAAGTGTTAATAAGGTACCTGAAATCACCGTGTATTTACTGCTCAACGCCACACAGATCCTAGGCACAGGAGTCAGCGAACAACAAAAGATTTACTATTAAATTCTTAATTAATACATTTATCAAGCATAGCATTTTTCTGTGCTAGTTTCGGGATTTTAAAAAATATTTATTTTTTAAATATTTAAATATTTAAATATTTATTTATGCATAAAAGAACTGGGGTGTAGGCCAGAGGTGCGGGGCGCTGAGACTTAACCCCTGCGCCACCAGGGAGGCCTAGTTTCTGGGATTTTTATTCCCTAGGAATGCCAGTAACAGCACTAACACACAGCCTCAGTCTCCCAGAAATGAACGTAAACACCCCACCATCCTCCCAAGGTAAGCAGGATGCCACTTGTCTATTCCAGCTGCAGTTACATGAGAAAGCAGAAAAATGGACTAGGATGAGGACAAAAGTTGCTGGAATAACAAATGCAGAAGCAAAAACATTTCTCTCTTGATATAAAGTGAGGTGACTTTTAATGTTCTTCCATTCAATTAATCACAAGCTGAAAAATGTATCTTGGACCTCAGTTTTGAGAAGGGTTGTCTTAAGTCATCGAACATTTGCCAGAGAATTCAAGTGAACCAAGACAAAGGCCCAAGAGCTCCCGCAAAGGTTATGAGAAACCTTAATGGCCACATACAGAGACCCATGGACGTCGCGTCGGGAACTTTTCCTAATCCCTCTCCTGCACCCTCGATGTGTGAGTTCCCTCAAACGAGCACAGTGGTGAGATGGGAAAAGGTAATTCAATTTTAATTCAGAGCAGCATAAAGGCGATGAGGTGAACGTGGAAACTGCAGTGTGTCTGGGGAGGCAGCGGCTGTGGGAGGAGCGACAGCCGGAGCCTGAAGCCAGGCCACCCCGACCAGCTGGAAATTCTGAGGTCCTCCTGCCCATGTGAGCGTCAGAGAGAGGTGGGCAGGGTGGAGGGGCATGGAGGGGTCATAACGGTCATCTCTGGCAGCATCTTTGTGTCCAGCACCCTGAAGAGAACTCAAATGCCCAGATCAGGGTGGCAGGGACATCCCGGGGTGGGGGGTGGTACTGCCACCAAAGATGGCCACCTACCCCTTCCAGGGTGCCAGGTCAAAGGGCGTCTTCACTTATCATTTTGCCAATCAAGAATTTCTACTTTACTAAAACACGTAGGAGCAAAACAGTGACCTTTCACCTGTGCTTTAATCCAGCACAGGGAAGCATGAGCCCAGAAGCACCCGCGTGGGGTGACGGGCCGGTGCAAAAGGCCACCCCCCCCCTCCGCCCCGCACCTGGTTGTAAGCATCTGGCCGGGCACAGCGTGTCTGGTTCCCCTCCGGACTCAAACTATTTTTAAAGATGGGAGATATTTCTCTCTAGGGGTATGGCCAGCGCACCAAGGCCCCGGCCCCAGCACCTCCCCTCCTAGGCACACCCTGGCCACGGTCAGTCCCTCATCCGGTTCAGCGCCTCGAGAGCAAAGGCCTTGAAGGCCGCTAGGAGCAGCTGGCGTTTCCCCGCCACTCCTTGCAGTGCGCGTTGAGCGAGGGGTGAGCGCCCACTCTCCCCCCCTCTCCCCTAGCCGCAGAGTAGCAGGCTGGGTCAGGAACTGCTCCAAACTGCCCACGCTCCCTTCAAACATGGACGTGCTCGCAGGTGAACTCACCTGCCCGCCTGCGGTAGAAGCTGGGGCTGGCTGCGGCAGGCACACAGCGTCCGCTACACCAGGGAGGTCAGCCTGGACGGCCTCGGACTCGCGAGGCCCTGGGGGTGCGCACCTCCTCCACAGTCACGGAGGAGTCAGAGAGGGAGGTGAGCGGCTGTGCTCAAGCCTCGAGCGACTCCCTCCAGCAGAGGGTAGCGATGACAGCAGCGGCCCCAACATGTGGGTCCAAGCCCTTCACGGCTAGTAAATGAGCTAAGACACCAGCAGCCTCAACCCCACTATTCCAAAACTTTTTGTTAGCATGACTCCCCCGCCCCCGTTCAAATCCGACCCAGAATATTATAAAACAGGAGAGAAACAAAGCAGAGCAGTTCTACACAAAGCAGCAGTGAGAGGACCTGGCTGAGGGGCCCCCATTCTGCATGGGGCTTGCCTGACTCCTGCTCCCAGGCCAGCTTCTAGGGACCAGCATGGACTCTGGGACTCCCGAGTCTTGTCGACGACTGCAGTGGAGACGGGCAGGGGCGGGGAAGCACAGCCCAGCCTGGGCGCATCCGAACAGGCAAGACCTTGAGGCTGGCCTGCGGCAGGCGGAGCGCGGCACAGATGCCCTCCTCAAATGCAGGCTGCCAGAGGTGGCTGAGAAGTGTGAGCTTATTCGGGTCCCCCCTGCCATCCCCCCTTGTCTTCTCCGGACTTCAGGTCATTGCACCAAAGCACTTTCGTGCCGCTTTGCCGTCTGACACTGATGCTGACAGTCTTTGCCGCCACGTGCCCAGAGGCTTACCTGGGGACTCTCAACATGGAGACGCTGAAAAAGAAATAGTGAAAACGGCTTCCCCAAAGCCCAGTGCCCCCTGCCTGGTCCGTGTGCTCGTCTCATGACTTCACACCATCGAGGGTGACTCTCCTTGCTATTATCTCGGTCTCTCTCTTACCAAAAGCGCGGGGGGAGCGTCACAAAAGCTGTCCCGGTCAGAACTTTGCAACTCTTTCTGAAACTTCTCCTTCCCGCCATGACCAGCAAAGAAGGGAAACTATTCTCCTAAGTCCTCTGGGTATGTTTTGGAGAAAAAGTTTTCCATAACCCGATCCTTGAATCCCATTCTTCACGGCCCACACCACCTGCAGACCCCACAGGCAGGAGCCCAGGAGAGACGGCTCCTTTGGGCTTTCCCCGCTGGCACGCCCTGAGCTTGGTGAGTGCCAGGGAGAATTTCTGGCAATGACACGGAGCTGCGAGAAGGTGCCTCTCTGCATCTTAAACCCGCTCTTTCCAGCTGCGCCCCTTCTTCATTTCCAATTTCCGTCCTCTGCCAAAAGAAGGCAGGGAGAGGAAGAAAATAACATAATAAAAACTTCAAATGAACACGCCCTCAGGAAATATTTGCCTAATTCTATAATAACCCGAGGGGCAGAAAGGTCGAAAAAATGAGTTCATTCTCCAGGCTCCGGAGAGTGGGAGGTTCTGTCAATCACAGACTTCTGGACCCAGAGGGGCCTTAGGGCTCGGCCACCCCAGGGCCCCGGCTTCATGGGTGAGGAAGGGACGTCAGAGCCCCTGGACCCCGACGCGCGGGGCTCGCTCCTGACTTCCAGCCTGGCCTGCTTCCACCACACCCCACAGCCCAGCACCCTCCAGCTCGCTGCGTGACTCAAAGGCTCCTCCTGGGACCAAGCAGGGAGATGAATAAGCAGTCCCAGCACCTGCCAACTTCCTGGGGCCCAAGCCGACTTTGGGAGCAGGCGGGTTCCCCAAATGCACCGAGGGTTCACACCCCGGGGAGGCTCCAGACGGCGCAGCGCAGGAATGTGCTCCCAGCGGGGCGCAGCGCTCCTCCTGCTCCCGGGCGCTGGGAATCGGGGAGCAGCGGGAAGCTGAGGAGGAAACACCCTGGACTTGCGGGGTGCAGGCCCAGCAAGCCCCGCGGAGGGGGGCGGGCGGCCCCGGTGCCGCGTCTGGGGCGCACGACCCGCGCCGTCCGCGCGCGCCCCGGTGACATTTTGCTGAAAAGCCACCTTGCTCCGCGCGGCGCGCGCCCCGCCGCGAGGTGTGGCCACATCCTCCGCCTTCGGAGGCGCCGCTGTCAACTTCCCCCCGCGGGGACGCCGAGAGGGGGGCGCCGAGAGGGGGGCGCGCGGCCCCGCGCAGGGCCGCCCCCCGCGCCCCGACGGCAGCGCGTCCTCGCCGCCTCCCCGTCCCGCTCAGATCGGGGCCACGGTTCCTGGGGTGCCGCGGACCTCCCGCCCCTCGGGGCGCCCCCAGACGCAGGGCCGAGCGGCCGCCGCGGGGGAGCGCGCCCCGCGCCCCGGGGACCCCCCGGGCAACCCCCCGCCCGCCCGGGCGCACCTGGGGCGGGGGCTCGCGGCCGCTCCCGCGCCGGCTGGGGGCTCCTCCGCGCCGCCATGCGGGTCGCGCTGCGGTGGGCGCCGAGCCGGGCCGGGGTCCGGGAGACGCGGCGGCCGCCCGCCGCCCGGGCTCGCTTCCCCGCGACAGCGCGGGCGGAGGCGCAGGGCGGCGGGGCCCTCCCGGCCGGCCTGGGGGCGGGGCCTGGGAGGGGCGGGGCCTTGAGGGCGGGGCCTCGGCGCACCAGGGGCGGGGCCGGGGCGGGGCCGGGGCGGGGCTCCCGGCGCTGCCAGCTGCGCAGCCCCTAGACGCCACCCCGGGCCTCCCGCCCCGGCGCACCCCGACCTCTCACCTAAGGCGCCTTGAGAGGAGAGCCCTGGAAAACCCGGTGCCTGGGCCCTCTGCACCCCAAGTCCCAGGAGTGCCCCCCTCCCCCGAGTCCGCCTGCGGCGGGCCCCACCCGAATCCGGACCGAGCTGCCGGCCCTGAGCCGGTTCCCCTAGATTGGGCAAATTTTGTGATCTTTATGGTTCCCCCGCCCCGCAGTGTCAGCAGGAGGTTGCATTTCTTTAAATGCACTGTTTGCTTTAGAAGTGGGGCCACGCCTTGGGGACATTCATCCTTTGATCAAGCGGTTTGCCAGGAGGAAAAAAATATTAAAAAGAAACCCAGTCATAAAAAGTCACGTACACACGATCTTCCAGTCAGATGGGACTTTTTGCAGAAGAAAAAAGAAGACAGGGCCTCCCTGGTGGTGCAAGGGGTTGAGCACCGCACTGTGGAGCAGTCTGCAGCCTCTGCAGCACGAGTTCGATGCCCGGGCAGGGAGCTACCCACATGGCGCGGCAGACCTCTCCTGTCTCACCTGCTGCTCCCCTCAGCAGTGTATTTCAGTCATTCCTCCTGTTCTGTTCCCCACTATGTTTCTGGTGAATCCTCTCACCCCCTGCATCTCTGGCCTACACCCCAGCTCTTGTATGCATAAATAAATAGATCTTTAAAAAAAGAAAAAGAAGACAACAAAAATCCTGGTCAAGACTTCCGTTTTCCCACTACACACAATTCCAGAGACAGAGTGTGCGTTTGGCACCTTCTGAAATAGGAATTTCCTAACTCAAGAAAGATGTGGAAAACACCCTGGAAAGTATCACTTTCCCGCCTCTGAGTCTCGGAACAGATGATGAGAGGGTAATAGGTGTTTGAAGACTCTAGTAAAATTGTGAACCAGGGCAACAACAATTAATATCATTAATTATCAGGCATTTAATGACAACTGACATCAGGCCCAGCATTGGGTAGGACTTGAACCCGTGTTCGTTCATCTAACCCTCACACTTGCCGTGACGTAGTCACTGTTATGATCTCCACCGTACAGATGAGGAAACTGAAACTAATGCTCACACAGTTTGATCTAAATCTCAAACCACCCCACTGTTGTGCAAACCATGATTCACAGAAGGTGATAAAATGTTCGCAGACTCTGCTGCATGTCTAGAAAAATTCCTTTATCCAAAGCAGATTTTTAACATAGAGTAGCAGTTTTTCTACAGCCATAAGCCATGACTTGCAGGAGGAGAGCATGGTACTCATACAAAAAACAAACAAACAAAAAGAACGAGTTAACATTGCTGTGCCTGATTAAACTTAGACGAGTTTATGGGTAGTGATGAGTACAGATGATCTATTCTGGAATTTGAAAATACAAAGGCTAATTTCTTGTGGTATAATAAAATAAAATTGACTTACCTTCTTTAACCACACAACAAATTAGCCAGTAAACTCCACCTCCTCCCACAAGATAATATTCATGAACACAGTTGTTCGGACTCAGCCTAAAACCCTTCCAATTAATTCATGTCCGAGGTTTGCTATAATGTTCATTCTTACCCTAGAGACTAGAGTGTGCTAATTCCTGGTGTGCTAATGACAGACCCAGACCTTGGACCCAGGATGCCTGGCAGGCATCTTTGCCACATGGTCTTTCATAAGTTATTCAACCTTTTTTGTGCTGCAGTTTCTTTATCTGTAAAAGGGGGCCCATAAGACTATCTTCCACTATGGGATTGTAGTAGGATTAAGTGATTAAATCTGTGCAAAACCTTGAGGGTAACACTTAGTACATATTAAACACCATATAATTATTATTCAAATAATGGGTGTGAATACACATAGGAATTTCTGATTGACCTTCTGCTCTATCCATGCGTCATTTACTATGTCTTGATAATTACAAGCTTATTGACCTTTTTAGGAAAATTCCTAGATTGTGAGCTCTTTGAGGGCAAGACAGCTGACCTAAGACTCCTAGTGCCCAACGAGGAGCTGAATATTTGTGAATGGGTAGATAGAGAATGTCATGGGAGAGCAGCCAAAAGTCTCACTCAGAGAAGCAACGGTCTCTCCTGATACACGTCATTGGCTCACCAACATGTTGACTTCAGACTAACTGAAAACAAAGGCAGTGCCTAGTATTTTGGCAAAAGGCACTGAATTGCGATGATGAAAAGTTGAGAATGAGTGTCCAACGGCAAAGACTACTGCAGTTAGTCATGTCAAGGATCCTAATATGGCCCAGATCAGAAGAATGAAAGAAAAGAAAAATCCTGGTTGAGAGCTTCTAACAAATATTTTCCTAGAATTCTTGTTTTCAGAACATTTTTTTGACCATTTGAACTCTGAAAAAAGAATGTGAGCCTCCAGAGCTGTTGAAGACATTGCAACATGGGTTTTTCATCGCTATTTCCAAACCTTCCATTTGACTCAAGGGTCACTCATCTATATCCAGATCAACCGCAGGTTGGGACAAGCTGATTTTGTTCTGAGAACAGTGGAACCCCACACCTTTGGGTAATGCTGGCAGTCTTCATTCTGTTGAAACTTTCCTTGGTTGCCTGACTTGCAGATAAAAATCCTCCTCTAATAGGGAGGTTGCAAAGGGTGTTGCTACTTCATGCTATAATTCATGCCTGATCTCTGGAAGGTACTTACTTAATATTCATTGCATAAAAATATGAGTGAAGGTAATGATTGGACTTGCTGCTAAGAATCACTGAAATTTTCCTACTTGTGCTCACTTCCAATTGTCTGTATCCAAATTAATAGTCTTTTTGTGTGTGTAGTATACTACCTATAACATAAACTTGACCATTTTAACCTTTTGTAAGTGTACAAATATTCACATTTGCTTAACAGCTATCACAACCATCCATCTCCAGAACTTTTATCATCTTCCCAAGTGAAACTCTGTTCCCATTAAACGTAACTCACATTTGCCTTTCCTCACCTTCTGCCCCTAACTACCATCATTCTATTCTGTCTCTCACTACTTTCTGAATTTGATTCCTGTAGGTACCTTAGGTAATGGAATCAGATGATCCTTGGCCTTTGTAATTGGCCTGTTTCACTTGGCATAATAACGTCTTCAACATTCATCCATATGGTAGCATGAGTCAGGACATCCTTTTTGAAGACTGAATAGTATTCCATTGCTGTACTTGGAAGTATATATGTCACATTTTATCAGTCCATTCATTCATTAATCAACAATACAAAATGTATTCCTTGGTCTGGGATTTTGTCTGCAATAAAAATATTACACATCCACTAAATCACCATCCTATCAGTCATTTTCAGCTTACTGTCAGCGAGCCTTGGCTCTTACTAAGAGCAATGTTGATAAGGGCAGTGCAAAGAGAGACTAAGAGCTGGCCTCAGGGATAGAAGAGGTCAGCTGGGAGACAGGAAAGGGAACTGAAAGATGTGGGGGTGGTGGATGTGAAGAAGAACTTCACACTTGTATGGAGGTCCAGACCAGGACTTGGCATTTCCTTAATTTTTTTTTTAGCAAATTAGATGACTTTACTCTTTCTCAAATTCCTGACATCTGTCCTGCCTGGAGTTTGCAGATTGCTGTCCCCTTCCTGTCCCCCACCTTTGACCTTGCTGTGCCTTCCCTTTCCCCATCCCCTGCTGACCCCAATGGGCCTTCCAGGCTCACTAAGCCCCCTCTCTTTGGGAAGCCTTTCTGGTCCACCGACGATGAGTTAGTAACCCGGCTTCCACGCCCTTCCCCTGCTTGTCAAAGTCCTGTCTCTCCCCACACTTGGCCGCGAGCGCTGAGGCCAGGGATAAAGATTTGTCTCTCCTGGGTGTCCTGCTCAGTTCCTGGCAGACACTAAATAGAGCATACAAAAGACGGGAATTACACTTCTCTTGAAGGTCTTACCACCCACGTTCCTCCTCATCACCAGCTCACTGAGTCTGTAAAGGGGTTCCTTCCCTTTCTCTACAATTGGGTCCTCAATACTTAGAGGACTTGATACCTTCCCACCGACAACACATCGTCCTTCCTGGTAAGTTTTTTTTTTTAATTTAATATATTTTATAGAGGGAACATTGGTTTACCATGCTGACTATGATTTGGGGGTACAGGATCACACCCTCAGCTGCATGTCACCACACCTCATCAACCCCAAGACACCCATCATCCTCCACCATAGTCCATGATCCCTCTCCCCTGCCCCTCTGGCAGCCTCTAGTCTACCGTCAGATTTCTGGGGTTTGTCACTGGTTCGGTGGTATCTGACCCTTTGTTTTGTTTCTCTATATTCCCCATATAAGTGAGACCATGCAGTATTTATTTTTCTTCTTCTGACTTATTTCACTTAGCATCTCCCCTCGAGCTCCATTCATGTTGTTGCAAAGGGCAAAAGCTTATCTTTTTTCTATAGCTGCCTGCAAAGCGTTTTCACACAAAATTGAAAAGGCAATTTTTGCCACATAATCTCATAAGCAGAAATACATGGAGAGCGGCAGAATCTAAAACATGTAGAGACCTTACTGGGCTCACAGCTCTGATTAACCAACAAAGCCTCTTTCATATACGCAGCTGAAGAGGAACAACCCAGCAGCAGCCTTTGTGGCTTTTCTGCACCCCCGCCCCCCACCCCAAGCCTGTTTTTAGAACTAAGTCTAGGAGGAGGGAAGAAAACCAGATTGCTCTTGTTCTCTGACTCATTTATTTTTCAGGATCCCCTGGGCAAGCACACTCGTTAGCTGACT